AGTTGGACTCGGCAGTCCAACTTTGGATCCAGGCGTGCACACTCAGTCCGGAATGAGTCACGTGCGCAGAGTCCAGAGCCAGGGCCGGCTGGTGATGAAGAGTTCATAAATCCCAACCAGAGGAGAGTATGTTTGGCGGAGTAGAAGGCCCGATGCGTGCTGGCGCGACCGTAGTAGGAGACACGTGCCGCGGGACGCCGATGGCCAGGGAGGTTGCGATAGTGATTTCAGGAGAAGGCAAGAGAAAGAACAATGGCGTGTGGGTGCTCATATAGGCTTCCCAGGGGGCGTGTCCATGCCGCCCCTGCCCTCTGTGGACAGACCCCTTTTACAACAGACAGTTTGTAAAGGAAACACACAGAATTGATGCTAATAATCATAAGACATGTACAAACACACACCGTATTTCATTACTTTGACATTGATACACACATATGGGGCACAATGCAGATTATTGGAGTACTGGACCCAGGGGTACCGGTTCGCAATTGTCCGTCCCGGGTGTGATAGTGTCCATTGTTCACAAGGGGGCGTCAGAGCGCCGCGGGGGAGTCTTTGATTGTCCGGTGGCAGGAGTCTGTGAGCGAGGGCAGGGTTGTGATCTTTGATCTCTACAGGCAGGCAGAGACAGAGGTGCTTATCCCCGTGGTGACTTTATTGCTCTTTTTGGCATCTGTAATCCTCATGATTGATGGCGGCTTGTGGCTGACCCCATGGCTCCTTTGAAGCTGTATCTCTCCATTTGGTCAATGGTAAACAGAGTGGACAGGCTTGGTCCTGCCCTAAGTTTAACCTTACAATATAATATAATAGTACATAGATACTTATTTTGTATATTTTGTGTGCTCCCTGTGTCTCTTACTACTGTCCTGTCTGTGCGCTGCAACACCGACATTTCATCACTGTGGGACGAATAAAGGATCTCTTATCTTATCTTATGCTCTAGACCCAGGACTGAGGCTGTAGACCCAGGACTGAGGCTGTAGACCCAGGACTGAGGCTGTAGACCCAGGACTGAGGCTGCAGACCCAGGACTGAGGCTGTAGACCCAGGACTGAGGCTGTAGATCCAGGACTGAGGCTGTAGACCCAGGACTGAGGCTGTAGACCCAGGACTGAGGCTGTAGATCCAGGACTGAGGCTGTAGATCCAGGACTGAGGCTGTAGACCCAGGACTGAGGCTGTAGACCCAGGACTGAGGCTGTAGACCCAGGACTGAGGCTGTAGATCCAGGGCTGAGGCTGTAGACCCAGGACTGAGGCTGTAGACCCAGGACTGAGGTTGTAGACCCAGGACTGAGGCTGTAGATCCAGGGCTGAGGCTGTAGACCCAGGACTGAGGCTGTAGACCCAGGACTGAGGCTGTAGATCCAGGGCTGAGGCTGTAGACCCAGGACTGGACTAATGGGTACAAAAGTGTGACAAAAGGCCAAAAATGTGATTTTAATAATCAGAAGATATTTTATGTTTTTCATGGATCCAAACTCCTCCTCTGTTCTTTAGAAGTTTGATTGGTATTTTCAGATGTCCACATTTGATTAAGATTCTATTTTGAGATTCTATTTTTTTTACAGTACAGTACAGTCGATAAAATCGAGTTGGGCTCATTCTTGTTCAGCTGTGTTCAGACTTTTTTATATAATGCACAAAGATGGTGACTTCTGATTAATTCTAATTCACTGTGGCATTAGCAGCGCACACACACGTCTGCTCACACACACACACGTCTGCTCACACACACACACACACACACGTCTGCTCACACACACACACACACACACGTCTGCTCACATACACACACGTCTGCTCACACACACACACACACACACACGTCTGCTCCTCTGCTCACACACACACACACACGTCTGCTCCTCTGCTCACACACACACACACACACGTCTGCTCCTCTGCTCACACACACACACACACGTCTGCTCCTCTGCTCACACACACACACACGTCTGCTCCTCTGCTCACACACACACGTCTGCTCCTCTACTCACACACACACGTCTGCTCCTCTGCTCACACACACACACGTCTGCTCCTCTGCACACACACACACACGTCTGCTCCTCTGCTCACACACACACGTCTGCTCCTCTGCACACACACACACACACACACGTCTGCTCCTCTGCTCACGCACACACACGTCTGCTCCTCTGCTCACACACACACACGTCTGCTCCTCTGCTCACACACACACACACACACGTCTGCTCCTCTG